TTTGTTATGTTTTTCTGTCTATTAGAACCGCTATCACCGTTAGCGGTTCTATGCTGAACTAGGAAAAAAAAATTAACGAAGTTCTAACCAATCCTATGTGGATAAAATGGTGAGAATTAGTTTATAAACTGATGCATATAGGGAATAAGTTTACGTTTTTTAGGGGAATCGTTCCAAAAACACAATGGTATTTTGAAAAATTTGACAAATGTGACTATGTGAAGGGGCCCTTGGGAAACTTCCCTTTGATTTTACCAAATGTATTTCTAAATAGCCAATAGTCAAGCAATCAGGACATATATAACTAGTAAAAAAATTCCGTCAATTCAGTTACGTTAAACAACCAACAATCAATTGCCAAACAATACCGTTATTAAATCAACTCAATTTCTGTCAATAAAAACAAACTTTATAATATTTTCATTTCTTTACTTTCCTAGGGAATTTTGCTTTAAGTATATTGTTGGATCCTCGCTCCTATATCATTTAAGTCCAAAAAGCAACAAGCCAACAAGTGGTCGGTCATTAGGTCAACAAGATAACAAGTGAAAGTGTGAAGTTAAAATGATCACATATATGTGAAAAGTACTATCACCTTGTTTGTTGCGACTGAAATACAGAGTAATTAAACTGAATTATATGAATTGAGCTAAACTAAATTAAACTAAACTTAGGGTCTGTTCTCTGCAGCTTAATTTCAGTTCAACTCCAATCAGTTCAGCTCCTAATTTTATTCTCTTATATATAAACAATTCATTTCAATTCAGATCCAATCAGTTCAACTCCTAATTTCCTTCTCTTATAAATAATTCATTTCAATTCAGATCCAATCAGTTCAGTAAATTTTTTTTTTTTTTGAAACAACCGGAAACCGATTATATTAATTTAAGGACATCGAGTCCATCAAAACATAAGGAAAAATCTCACAAGGACAATGATTTACCCACACTTGTTCAAGACCAAATGGAAAAAGTTTTGAGAGATGATGAGCCACAAAGTTTCCATCTCTCTTGACATGAGACCAAGAAACATGATCAAAACTACGAGAGAAAAATAGAATGTCTTCAAGGATTGAGTCGAGGTCGGTTAAGTGGATGTCCGTCTTGGAGAGTTTTGAGACAATAGATGAATTATCAGACTCAAAAATCACATTTTTGAGTCCAAATCTGCTAGCCAATTTAATAGCGTGCACCAAAGCTTTCCCTTCAGCGACAATTGGCTCCCAAAAGCCACGAACTCGCCTCGTAGCAGAGAAAATCACCTTACCACGGTGGTCTCTAGCTACAATCCCCATCCCAATCCAGCCAGATGCATCAATTGAAGCATCACAATTTACCTTCACAACTTCTATTGGAGGGGCCTTCCACGATTTGGGGCTGCTGCATACCTGAGCCGTTCTAATGCCACCATACACCTTCTCAGCATAAAGTTTGATGTCTGTTGCAAGCCTTCTAGTTCGTTCCACCACTGTTCTATGTGATACTTCCACCTTATTGAAGATTAAATCGTTCCGCCTATTCCAGATTTGCCATAAGAGAATAGCACAAACATTTAAGGTGGAAGAGCATTGATCCTTCCAGTCAACAATTAGATCCGAGAAGGATTTGCTAGAGTCCCATGAAAGGTTTTCACAGCCCGCCTCTCTCCATAAGTCTTTCACCGCAACACAATCAAATAGAGCATGATGAACAGTCTCCGCCTCATTCTTGCACCACGGGCAGACATCAGAATCGGACATATGCCTATGCATTAAATAGGCACGAACAGCAAGAGTGCTTGTGCATACCCTCCAAAGAAAGTGTCTGACTTTCGGAGTAACATTCAGCCCCCAAATAATTACCCATGCTTTGTGAAATTCATCTAAGTTGCAAGATTTACCAAGAAAGTAAGCTGTGTTGACCATATACTCTCCACTCTTGGAAAAAGCCCATGTTAATTCATCCTCAGGGCCTCGTAGACTGAGAGGAATGGAGAGGATGCACCTGATATCTCTGTCATTGAAGTTTTCGCCGATGAGCTCATAATTCCACTCTCTGGATCCTGGAACAATGAGGTCTTGAACCAACTCCACACCCGTCACTCTAGGAGAAGAAATTCGGCTCCCTTGGTCATCAGCAACCCAAGCATCATCCCATATATTAATATGAGCACCATCTCCAACTCTCCATAAGAGACCCGCCTTCAAGAGAGATTTCGAGGACCATATACTCGACCACGAAAAGCTGCCAGCTAACCCCAAATACGAGTTTAAAAAATCTGACCGAGGGTAGTATTTTGCTGCCATCACCTTACCGAGAAGAGAGTTAGGATGTTTAAGAAGTCGCCATGCCTGTTTACCAAGGAGAGCAACATTGAACACATTCATGTCCCTAAAACCCATTCCCCCAATACATTTAGGAGTACACAAAGCATTCCAATTAACCCAATGCACTTTCTTCCGCCCATCAGAATGACCCCACCAAAACCGAGCCGTCATAGAACGGATGTCATCAAGAACACTTGATGGTAAACGGTATACTCCCATCAAGTAAGTGGGAATGACTTGAATGACCGCCTTGATGAGAATTCACTACTAGATAACAGCCAAATTATGACGGAAATTTTCCGTCGGAAACACCTCGTTTTCCGTCGGAAAACCAATTTCCGACGGAAATCCGTCGTAACTGGTTGTCGCGATATACTTTGTCGGAAAAACGCGCTTTTCCGACGAAAATTCCGTCGGAAAAGCGTTTTCCGACGAAAATTCCGTCGGAAAAGCGTTTTCCGACGGAAACTAGTCCGTCTGAAGAGGTTTTCGGGCCTAGGAAAGTCCGTCGGAAATTTCCGACGGATATTATTCCGCCGAAAAAAATAACGACGGAAATTCCGTCGGAAAATTTAATTAAAAAAACAAAAAAAAAAAACTGCACCCACCCAAAACCACCAGCCCCCACCCCAGAACCACCAGACCCCACCCCAGAACCTCCAGATCGTTCTTATCCCACCACCACCAACACTACCACACCATTATTGAACCCCAAAAAATGAAAATAAATCCCGAAAACACCCAACAAACGAAAATTAAACACCAAAAAACGAAAATTAAACCCAATGAAACAAAAATCAACCCCAACGAAATGAAAATCCACCCCCAGATATTCGAAAATTAACACCACAACGAAAATTAGCCCAAAAATCTTAAATTAACAACGAAATCGAAAAATTCCACACAATTATCTAATAAAATTCATAAATTAACATAACAATTACAAAAATATACAATTAGCCAATAAAATTCATAAATTAACATAACAATTACAAAGAAATTAACAAGATCTACAATCTAACCTAAATTAAAACTAGATCTACAAAACAAAAACCTTGAAAACAGTCGGCTTTGTTATAATATTGTTGCGTCGTTGTTGTTGTTGTTGCGTTGTTGCGTTGTAGCGTTGTAGCGTTGTTGATGTTGTTGCGGTCGATGTTGGTGGTGGTTGATGGAGAAGATGGTTGATGTCGGTATTCCTTGGATTTTTAGGTCGATGTTGGTGGTTGATGTTGCGGATATACACAAGAGGAAGATAAGAGGAAAGGAAAGGGAAGAGGAGAGAAGAGGAAATGGAAGAGGAGAGGCGAAAGAGATTGAAAGAGGGGAGGGGCAGAGCCACAGAAGGAAAAGAGAAATGAGAACAGGAGAGGAGAGAGAAAGAGAATGAGAAGGAAAAGGGGAAAGTGAAAAAAGAGGCGGAGAGATGAAAAGGGGAAAAGGGGCGCCTCTAGCTTTAGGGTTTTATTTTTGAAATGTTAATTTTTTTTTTTTAAAATAGGACTTCCGACGGAAATTCCATCGTAAATTTCCGACGGATACAAATTCCGTCAGAAAATTAAATTTCCGACGAAATAATCGGTCGGAAAGTGCATATTTTGCGACGGAATAATTTTCCGTCGGAAAATTCCGACGGATTTCCGACAGAATTTTTTAATTCGTCGGAAATATACGACGGAATTGGTTTTTCCGACGGAATTTTAGGTCTGTCGGAACCTTTCCGTCGGAATTCGACCTGATTCTTGTAGTGATTTCCTTTCCAGCCCTAGAAAGAAGCTTTTCCTTCCACCCTTGCATCCTTTTCCACAATCGATCCTTCAAAGCATTAAAAACCACACGCTTAGATCTCCCGAGAATAGTGGGAATACCTAAATACTTCTCATGTTTATCGACCCTCTTCATCTTAAGAAGCCCAATCAACTCCTCTTGCTTTGACTCACACACGCCTTTGTTAAAATAGACCTCCGATTTTTCATAATTAATTTTCTGTCCGAAAGCTGCTTCATATAAGTTGAGAATATCAACGATTTTTGAGCATTCATGTCGGTTGGCTCTTGCAAAAAGCAAACTGTCATATGCAAACAGGAGATGAGAAACTACAGGGCCCCTTCTACTAGCTTTAGCCCCATGGAGATCACGAGCAGAAACCGCTTTTCGAAGAAGACCCGAAAAAGCGTCGGCCACCAGAATGAAGAGATAAGGAGACAGCGGGTCGCCTTGTCTGAGGCCCCTTGAGGGAGTTACATAGCCACCAGGGAAACCATTAATAATGAAAGAATAAGAGACAGTGGAGACACACTCCATGACCAAATTGACCCAAGTCTCGGCAAACCCAAATCTGAGAAGCAAATCCCGTAGGAATGACCACTCTACTCTGTCATAGGCCTTACTCATGTCGATTTTAAGCCCAATAGTACCCTTTCGACCCTTACTCCTTTTCTTCATGGCATGAAAAACCTCTAAGGCAATTAGCGCATTGTCAGTAATCAATCTGTCTGGTACAAAAGCACTCTGATTCTCCGAAATCAAGTCAGGGAGAATATTTTTAAGACGCATAACAATTGCCTTAGATGCTAACTTGATTAGAACAACCATTAATATTGAAATCACATAACTCGTGTCAATAAAAACCGGAAAAAAATAAAAAATAAAAAAAATCTAAAAGAAAGGGCCTAAGTCCATGATAATTTAAACCTAAACCTAAACCTAAACCTAAAGCCCATTACAATTTACAAACATTAGTGTTCTTCCTTAAATTCCCAATTGAAACCCTACAGCTTCATTTTTCGAACAAATTTTTCCGATTTCGTAACAGTTCTATACAGAGGAGAAAAAGAACTCAGAAATTGAATTAAATCTATTTGTCGAAAATTTGTAAGTTTTTCTTTTTTTCTTTTTAGATATTCAATGTGTTATCACTATTGCATTTGTTATTTCGAATAATAAAATTCTGCAATGAAATTTCTTCAAAAAGGAAAAAAAAAAAATTGTAATGAAATTTTTGTCAATGTCAAAATTAATTTACCATTTTATTAATTTCCAGGCATTCGTTTGTTTGTTTGTTTGTTTTTTTTTTTTTTTTTTTTTTTTTTTTTTTTTAATTTACCTTTTTCTTGTTTTGCAGCTAAAATGGCGTCAGAAGACGTTAACTATGACATTCCTGAGGTTTGTGCTCTTCTTGGTTACCCTTTGTTTCTTTTTCTTGTTTTAGTAATATTGAATTGTTGATATATGATTAATAATGTTTTCAGCTTATAAAAAAAAAATCTAAATATTGGTTTGTTTTGGTAAAAAATTACTGACATTATATAAACAAGTATGTTTTTTTTTTTAAAAAAATTTTATTTATTTGCTGCAAATTTGTTCAAGTTCTGTGGTATGCGGCATAATATCATTATGCTTATCAAAGTTCTCATATTGTATGGTGCAATAAATTAACTTTTATGTGTCCTTTGAAGTGATTAAACTTATTGTATACTGTATGATACACTCTTTGACATACTCCTCTTATATGGATATGAATATGAAGATTTGTTTTGTTACCTTTAAGTGGAATAAAAAAAAATAACTAATGTTGTGTATCGCGCGATAAGTTAACTTTTGTGGGGTTTGAAGTGACTAAGCTTATGATCCGCCCTTTGACATACTCCATTTATATGGGTACGGAACTATTTATAGTGAAGGTTTTTGTTTTTACCGTTGAGCGAAAGGGAAAAACATTATTATATTGTGTGAAAATCCTAATTTTGATTTGAGATGGTTCACATGGAATTGGTTTTGTTTCACGGTAGTTCAGTTAAGTCGTTATATTTTTCTTAAATACATTGTGTGGTGTTAACTCTTATTTTTATATTTTTCAGTTAGGTTCATTTGATCCAACAAAGAAGAAAAAGAAGAAGAAAGTAACCGATAAAAACGTGGAACCCTTGGCTGATACAATGGAGAACATGACAGGTATAACCTGAATTACATTTGATTCATGTGTCCCATGTATATATTGAATATTTTCTTGGGTTTCCAATTTGAGATTGCTGAAAATTGTGTTTATTTTCTTAGAAAACATATAATTAAATGACGACAATGTAAGAAAATTAGCATGATTAGTGTTAAATAACAGTTTTCGGCATGTTAAATGATGCGGGTCCAGCAGTACTGACTTTCACATTGTGCAGTTTCTGATGGTGCTGATACATCATTTGCTGGTTTGAAGAAGAAAAAAAAGAAGCCAGTAAGTTGCTCTCTAGGTTCTTGTTATCATTCACGATCCTCTGATCTATTGTATTTTTTTGAGCTGCAAAAGTTTTTTAGCTTGTAGTTGTTATTTTCAGGTTGATCCGAATTTGTTTGATGATGATGTTGGTGAAGTAGAAGTGAATGATGGTAAGTGCAGTGGCGAGTGATTGAGAATGTATTTTTCCTGGTGGTCTCAACTTTCCTTTAGCTAATGCATATACATTCGTTCAGATTCTTATTGAATGTTCTATAATTTAGGAGACATTGGAGAAGATGGACATGGTGATGAATGTGATGAGGTGCAACTACCTCAGTTCCCTTGGAAGGGGACTGACAGAAATTATGTTTACGAGGAAGTAAGTTTCATCACTTACTAGTACTGAGCTTCAGAGTACTTGATATGCCACTGCTAATCCATACTATAGTCTATCTGGTAGCCTAGGTTGCAGTGTCTGTTAAAGTCTTAGCCCCTTTAGCTGCAAAGAGGTTGCTTAGTGAAACTCTTGGTTGTTGGTCCAAGAGGTTGCTAACCAGTCCATAATAAAGAAAGGCAATTTCAAATTTGGTCAAGGCCATGTTCTTCTCACCTTGTATTTCATTTATCACAAGTCTAATAAGTTTAGATAAGTTCTTATAAATTATAATTATATTAAACAAGGTTAGGGTTAATATGTTTGATAAGATAAATTTAGTATTTATAAGTACAAATTATGTAAGTTTAGGAATCATATTTAACAAGAGTTTAGAAAAGCCAATTTTAGGGCTAAATAAGTTTAGTTTTGCATTCTTCACACATTGTTTGCACTAATTTTAAATCAAATAAGTTTGAAATAATACTGTTTTTGGTCGGTAAGTTTAGATCTAATAAGTTTGAAATAATACTATTTTTGTGCTGGTAAGTTTAGGGGTGATATCTTCAAATGAGATAAGTAAAATATTCTAGTGAAGAGTACCACCTTAATTTGTTATAGTCCAAAATTGTCCTTAACTCCTCATATAGGCTCTTTTTCATATTTGTTGACAATGGATAATGACTTATATCAATTGTCTATTATCTTTAAAGTCCCCTTATATTAATTATTATTTCGGCCCTTAATACCATTTACTTTTGCTCTCATATTGCAGCTTCTAGGAAGGGTGTTCAACATTCTCCGTGAAAATAATCCTGAATTAGCTGGGGACAGGCGCAGGACAGTCATGAGACCCCCACAAGTCATGCGGGAAGGAACCAAAAAGACTGTTTTTGCGAATTTTATGGACCTTTGTAAGATGTGAGTTTCTTGGATTTTTCTGTCCGCAATTGCTTCAATTTTCCTTTATTGTTCTTAGCAGATTATATTCCTTCCAGTGACTCACCGTATATTGTCAAATTATTATCATCACTCTTCTAAGAAAACCAAGAATATGAAATCTACTTTACACTTGCTGCTTTTTTGGGCATAAGTTACTTTTCTTTAATAAACAGTCCCATAGAATATTTTGGTATCTATAATAATGATTTTTGTACAGGTTGGTTGATGAATGTTGTGCTAGCTAATAGCTTATTCTTTGTTATTGTCTTCCTTCACTTTGCTGAACCAGTGATATTCTGTAGTGACTTTATATAATTTACTCTAGTCATTTTTTCTTTTGTGATCGTGCTATCTGTCACATGTGTCTTGTCTTGTTGTAATTTTTTTGATTCCATGTTGTATCATGTTCTAACTTCAACCCCTTTACAGGATGCATAGGCAACCAGATCATGTGATGAGCTTTTTACTATCGGAGTTGTCAACAAGTGGTTCTTTGGATGGACAACAACGTTTGGTGGTAAAGGGGAGATTTGCCCCAAAGAATTTTGAAAGGATATTAAGAAGTTATGCCAGTAAGTTTACTTCTTATGTTTGGCTGAATAGGTATATAATTACGTTAATTTTGGTAGTTGGTTTCTTTGTATACAAATATTATTTCGTACATAAAGCATCTTCAAATCTTCTTAATTGCCTGCAGAAAAATTTTCTCTAATTCTGAAAAAAACTATTCTTTAGAAAGATTACCCTGAAAAGGCATTTACCAGTTTACCTTGCTGCATTATGAGTCATATATATTGTTATAATTATCTGTTTCTTTATAATTAAACTTCCACACTGTCTAGAGGCTTTTATCTGTTTGTTTGCTTTACTATTGCAATTTCCTACTGTTAATTGTTTATTTTTCTCCTGTAGATGAATATGTTATTTGTATGGGCTGCAAGAGTTCGGATACCATTCTTTGTAAGGAAAACCGTCTATTCTTCCTCAGATGTGAACAGGTAAATTTTTGATAATTAATGCTTTTATTCTTCATTGTATTATAATAGTTTGTTTTTCCATAGTTACTTTTTATGTTATAATTCATTCAGTTTCTGCTTTCTTGTTTTTCCACTCTAATTATTGAGTATGGTTTTATGTCTTAGTCAATATCTGACTAGTCTTCACTACCCATATTCTTTGATTCAACAAACTCGTGAAAATTCTGTGTCATTTAAGCAATTCTACTCAGCTGCAAATATATTTTCTTTTACCCAGTGTACTTTTGCAGTCTAGGAAGCCTTTGACAACTTGAGATTTTTATTTGTTTATAATTATGAAATGATTACATTGATGCCAGTGATTATCTGGTTAAATGGTTACCTAAACGGTATGAATATATCATGATAAATTGACTTTGTTCAATGCCTTTTTATCTATGCTGCACAAATCAATAATTAATCTGTGTATGAGGCCTTTGGATCAATTAGTATACTGTTAGAGATATTTTATTGGACTGTTGGTTAAAATGAAACTCAGTTTGATGATCTTTCCAAGAGAAGGGGGCCTGTGATGATCATTCAAAATTTGCCTACATTGTCTGATATAACAATGATAAAGCTACATTTGTGTCTGAGGCCTTAATTTGTCACATTTATTTGTTTGCCTTCTTTCTATCTGCTATCTCTTTTACATGTTACACCCTTCTCAGTAGAAAGTAACTAGGAATAGAAAATTTTGTATGTTGATGAAAAGTTTTTTAGTTTTCAAAATTAAATTGCTAAAACAGAATTTGAATATTTATCAAATTCTGCTTGCATCCCAGAAAATAAAAATGTCCATTTATATCATGAGCCTCAACTGGAGACTTAACTTTACCCCTCTTATGGGATTAAGGCTTTGATTGGTTGATATCATGAGCCCCAATTCTCATGCTGGCCTGTGAGGTAGATGAAGTATTTTCAAGGCCTGTGATGATCTTTACAAATAATTGCCTACATTGTATGATTTTACAATGATAAAGAAATTTCTAGGTCTGAGGCCTTGTTGTGTGGCATTTATCTTGATGTGAACTTGTTTTATCAGATATGAAAGTCATTTTGGTGAGAGAATGAATTTGACTAAGTCATTTGGGTGTCTCATAAACTTAAGTTATTGGAATATGTTGGGTACTGGTGTTAAGAGAGGCCTTTTTGAACAATTTATTTCGTTTTCTATTCTGTCTACCCCATCTGCTTCTGAAAAACAAAAACACAAAAGAATTGGAAAAAGAATAAAAGATTGTGCATGCAAGGAATGTCTGTGAATGGGTTAGTATACTGTTAAAAGTATTGTGGTGGTTACAAGTGAAAGTTTGATTATATGTCTAAGAAAGGGCCTGTGAAGATCTTTCAAAATTTTTGCCTACATTGTCTGATGATACAATGATAAAACTATTTGTGTGTCTGAGGCCCTAATCTATCACATCTTGGCTCACCTTCTTTAGAGTTCATATTATTATACTTCGTAATTTTGTTGAAGACAAATGTCATCTTTTTAATCACAAAACATAATTAATGCGCTGATTGGTGTTTCTAATTTCTCTCTTCGGTTTAAAACTTGAGTTTTTAAAAAGTAATAAATTCTTCTTTTCAATGCCCAAGTTCATTCATTAATCTTTATGAAATTTAAAGAAAGATTACTGGACTTGAGCATTGACATGAAGATTTAGATGGAGTCGTCTATATAAAAATTCAAAAATCGAAGATAGTTTGGGGACTCCAATTGGTGCCTTAATCAAGTTTTTTGATTGAAAGAAGTTGATTGTCTGATGATACGATGATAAACATGCCTTGATATATCACTTATCTTGTCGCACCTTCTTTCTCCTCACTAAACCCCCAGTAAAGCCATAAGGTCTATATTTGCAGCTGATCATGACAAAAAATTGGATTTAGGATTTTGATGATTATTGCTTTATTGATCAGGATCAGTTGCAGCTATCACTTTTGAAATTTTATTAAATTCTGCTTGCGTCCCTAGAAAGGCCAAAAGCTGATCAGTCTGCCCTCTCTTTCACAACCGAGGATATTATACTTGCATCCCTATTAGTGTTGTTAAAATTTTAGTCTCAAGGCTGACAAGCTTTCTTTTACTGAGAATTTTAGTTAAGCTGACAAGCTGATCAGTCTGCCCTCTCTTTAGACAAGCTTGCCTACATTGCATGATATTTTGGTGATGGAGAACATGAGGCTGAGGCCTTGCTGTGTCCTTTCCTTTTTCAATCCCTCAATCCTTAATTAATCGTTCATAATTTAATAAGTAAAAAGGATATATAGAGTAAGTTCTAGTTAAATTTTTTGGTTCCCACTCTTTAAATGTATATGACTATATTTGAAATATATGGCTTACTTGTAATTTATTTTTTGAAAAAATTCTGATGGCTTTAAAATTAGTAACTTAAATGTTATGTCACATTGTAGATGAGGCCTGTGATGATCTTTCCAAATTTGTCTACATTGTTTGATTTCACAGTGATTAGAAATAAAATGTCTGAGGCCTTGGTATACATTGTTGTGTTACGTAGCATTTCAGTTGAGAGGGACTGTGATGACCTTAAAAATAATTTGCTTACATTGAGTTGGACTGAAGACGTGACTGTTGCTTAGAGAGTCTTTGTTTTTATGGTTATTTTCTTTTTAAGTCCCCCGATCCCAATAATATTTCTTATTTTAAGAGGGAAAAAAAAAAGAATTGATAGCATAAGTTTTAGCTACATATTTGGCACATACCTGACTCCATCCAAATATATGAGGTATATTGCTTACATTGTATGTATGGTTATTTCACCAAATACCCTTGAGTTTCAACTTTATTCATGAAATACCCATGAAATTTTTAAAATTCATTATATATCATTCAGCTTTTCGAAAATGTCACGTCTTTAATGACTAACGCTGTTAACTCCGTTATTTATTTAAGGTTAATTGTGCCATGTGACAACTTCTGATAGGTTGATTATTAATTAGTTATTTTTTTGTTAATCAAATAATTAATTAAGAACCAATTAGAGCCTGACACATGGCACTATTAACCCTTAATGACTATCGAAGTTAAGGAAAAAGACTTGTCATTTTCCTGAAACTTATGGATATATAGTGAATTTGAAAATTTTGGTATTTCGTGAAAAAAACCTTTTTATTTACTTATTTTTAAGTTATGGTAATTGGCTACTTTGATTTGTGACTTCAATGTTATGTCACATTGTCGATGAGGCCTGTGATGATCTTTTGAAATATGTCTACATTGTTTGACTTAACAGTGATGAGAAAATATTAAGTCTGAGGCCTTATTGTTATATACTTCATTGTTTGTTTTTTTTACTTGTCATAGTTTGATTTTTGCGCTATTCACAATCATTTGCTTTGAATGTCTTTTGTGATTTTTATGTAAGAAGAAACAAATAGTCATGTGGGATGTTGTTAATTATATCTAATTGAGAATTTAAGTTATTGATGGTTAAATTTTGGTAAAAATCAATCTGTAGTTTGGTTTAAAGTCATTTCATGACATGTTTTTCTTTTGATGGGATGACATGTTTTTCTTTTGATGCAGTGTGGCTCTGCACGTTCTGTAGCTCCTGTTAATCGTGGGTTCGTTGCTCGTGTTGGTCGCCGTAGTGCTTAGTGATGGAGGACGTTATTATTCTGGGTATAGTAAATAAAGTGCTCATTTTGGTCTTCTGGGTTTTACTTCATGTAAATTTTTGGCAATAGTGTGGTGGTGGTGGTGTTTTGTTTTCAGTCGGTCGGTACAACTTAATGGATAGATTACTCACAAAATAAGAATATCCTGTTAACTACCATAAATGGATTACTTTTGATTTGATACCATGTATATACATTTGAAATCACAGGTATTTTCTATTTTGCGTAGTTTTGTTTTATTATTGTCTCAATTCAGGGTTATTTCAACCAAATTGTTATTCTGCTGGTTGCGATTGTGGTTGTAATGAATTGTAAATCGTTGCAATTGACACAACCGCCCTTTCATCGATTCAAAGCGTACTTCTCCCTCCCACCTCGAGCTCAATTGAGAACTCTCACAGTTACAGTGCAAAATTCCTGATCTGCTAATGAAAAGCGTAAATGTGATGATCTGTTTCAAAACAAACATTGGTTCAAGTATTTGAGCAACAAACACTTGAAAGGATTTGGTGAATAGCTTTATTTTATTAATCTGAAATTTTGTGTCACAAATTTCAAATTCAACATTTATCAACACTTCTCCTCTATGAGAGGTTCATGAAGTGATCTTAAAAAAATTCACCAAATTCTTTGAAGAGATTTTCATTCTCCTCCTTCGACCTTGGACTAGTAGCTGGCGAATCGACCAAAGGCATTTTGGTCCATTCCTCTGCAATATTAAGAACACACTCTTTACCACCAACAACTGGTTTAAAGCTTGGTTGGATTTCTTTGTTTTCTAACTTCCTCCAATTGATGCACTTGAACCATTTATGTCTTCTTATCTCATCTTCTCCTTGAGGCCCACTTCCTAGCCGCTTGCTCGGTTCTTTCGTTAGCAGCTACATAACATAGAACTTTCAATGAGAACTTTTGAAATGCAAGTTAAGCTTAAGATTCTACTAAAGTTGTTACAAACACTTACCCCTTTTATTAGAGAATGTGCTTCACTTGTTAAAAAAGTAGGTAACTTGATCTTGTCTTTGATTATTTTCTGCTGTAATTTGAATCTGTTTCCACCACTGAAAGGTAGCTGTTACAGCGGAAATACACGAAACAATTAGCTTATAAGGAAACAAAATTACATATGATTAAGTGAAAAAGGGTGGAAAATTTGGTAAACCTTTCCAATGAGCATCTCATACAAGAGAATCCCAACGCTCCACCAATCTGCAGCCTTATCATGCCCTTTGCCAAGTATAATTTCAGGAGCCATGCACTCAGTTGTTCCACACAATGAGTTTGATCTTGTTGTGTCGTCGAATTGTTTTGCTAGACCAAAGTCAGTCAACATTATCTGATCATGGAAGTAAAATGACAAAGAATTAGTGCCTATACATACATTGCTGGTTTAAAGGGCAATGTAATAAGGTTAGTTAAAGTGGAGCACATACATGGCCATCCGCGCCTAATAGAATGTTCTCTGGCTTAAGATCCCTGTGCATGATGCCATTATCATGTAAGTATGCAACTGCAGAGACTATCTCAGCTGCGTAAACTCGAGCCAAATCCTCCCTGAAATACAAAAGTATAAACACATCAAGCTAACAAGCATTAACCCTCCCTAAAGTTTCTGCATATACTCGGAAAAATCTTCTCACAATTCTTAAAAAATTATGATTAATGACTGATTACTAACATGTCCCGACTAAAATTAAAGTGTAAAATCATGTCATATCCTTAAATAAGCTTCGGAAATATATATTTCAATTTCTTATCTTGGACATAAGATTATTATATATAATCATGTTTGTATAAGACCACTATACAAAGTACGAGTATTGTATATTCCTAAAGACTAAGCACTAGTCAAAGTGACAAACTACATTATTACATACACTAGTGGAAATTTTGCACTCTGAGTCACATAATATTACCTGAATAAACCTTGTTGAAGGAGCTGAAAGAACAGCTGACCGCCATTGACAAAATCTAGCACAAAATACAGCCTATATTTTGTCTGCATAACATAATGAAAATAAATCAGTTGTTAGAACTATGTAATGTTGTGATTAACAAATCGCGTTAAACAATGAAAGAGTCCTAATCCCATACCTGAAATGTGTAGTTCAGCTTAACAATAAAAGGATGGTCAATCTTCATTAGTATCTCCCTCTCAGATTTGATGTATTCGACATGATTCTTTTCGATTATCTTGTCCTTTGCAATCACCTTCATCGCGAAAATCTCATCAGATGATCTCTTCCTAACTTGATAAACTTTCCCAAAAGCGCCCTTGCCCACAACTCTAAGCACTTCAAAATCCTTAACCCCAACAACACATCCTGATTTTTTGTCAAGATCCAAAGACGAAATCTCATACATTCCATTATCTATTTGAGGGTAATTCGAGTCCTTGGAATCGCGAAAATAAGGATCAATTGAGGGTTGCACTGATATTGGACCAAAAACATCAGCAAAGTTCTGAATCCCAACACAATCTGATGCTAGTACCACCATTTTTTTGGGTTAAAAATTGTGAAACAAGGGCTTTGATGGGTTTGTTTACAGTCTAATTTCGAGTTCGAGTTAAATGAAGTTAAGGAAAGGGATTAAAGTGCCTAGGAAACTTGGAAGTGAACAAACTAAAACCCAGAAAAAGCAACTGTTCTTGTTTCCCTGCTTGTGGGAAACAATTGATCTTGAACCACTTCTTGAATTCATCAACTTTACTATGATGAATCTTTGATCAAATCTGCAATCATTGAAACAATTATATTAAAATTATCAATATATTATTATACGAACAATTTTATCACATAAAAAACAAAAAATAAATAAAACCCGTTTTAAACAGGATTCATAATTGAAAGAAATACAAGTATAAAAATCAACCGCCCAACAATTAAATCTAAATTTAAAAAGATCAAACCTTTATAAATTTCAAAAATTTAAAAAAAAAGTTAAAAAGATCAAATCTTTACAAGTGAATTCCCGGAAAATTCAAGAATTTAAAATTGTGAATATACCCGTCCAAGTGATAATTATAAGGAAACTAATGACTATTTTAAAGAAATTAATCCATGGAACTTTAATTGGTAATAATTGAGAAAAACAAGTAAGCAAAAAATAGTTGATCAAAGAAGAAAAAAAAATACACACGCAACTATAAATAAGAAAAATTCAAGTTGAAGATGATCAATCATATGAAAAACAAGCAATTAATCCAATATAATTCGAAATTATGATTCGGGTCGATATTTTCGGAAAAAAAAAAAAAAAAAAAAAAAAAATTGAGAGAAGGAAAAAAAATTTCATACCTTTGGTAATGGCGCGGCGAAGGGGGGATGTTTGGAATTGGGATAAGAGTAAATAAACAGAGAGAATGCGTAAGCGTTACGCTGCTTAAGAAAAAGGGTACGTAACTGAATTAACGGAATTTATTGCCCACGTCTTGAGTTATGATTGGTTGTTTTTTTTGGTAGTTTTTTAAAAAAAAGAAATAGGAATTGTAGGTAGTTTATTTTTTATGTTAATTTAAATTTTTTATTGAAAGGTGGGTGGTTTACGAGGGATTATTTAGAATCTTTTTGTTCGTTTAAAAAGTAAATTTGGATAATATAATATTAGGGTTTTTTAATTTAATTTTATTTTATCTTTAATTTTTTGGGGATTGGGGGGTGGATTTGTTGGGGGAGATGATAAGATTTGATGAAATGATTAACTGTCTTGGTTTCGAGGAATGAAAGTAGCAAGTGTTTTCATGTAGCTTGCCTACTCATCTTCCTGCCAAACCCTTAAAGGGAAGGTCAACTTGTAGTATCTAAGGGAACAATACAACTATACAACTAGGAATAGAATCAATGATAATAACCCATATTTATAACTTTACTTCATTAACGGTGATATAAGTTATGAGATCTTGTATTCTTGTTACATTCGTCGGGGAAACTTGTCTTTAGGATAAAGTTATTGATTTTAGTTTGATATCTAAGCTCGCATAAATAATGCGCATAATAAGCTACTCTCGGAAGATTTTGGTGTGATCGTATTTGAATTAAACAGCTACAGTGCTACACAATTAGCATGTAAGCAACTAAGCTAACTTCGGGAGTGTATCGAGGAAACCCCTCTAATGCTAGTTAGCGTTTGAACAAAGGTCGTGACATGATAAACGGGTCTGGGCCACACTCGTTATAACTGTCCACTTTATACTACGAATGAGGTTCCACTTCAAATCCATATGACAATGAAGGGAGTAACCCCTTAGTTTTATAAAGTGAATACAACTTTCTTGTTTCTCAATATGGAATACACATCCTAATACAAACCCCCACTTATACACTCAACTAATTTGAGACAACACACCACTCACATGTAGGTTTTCATGACACGGGTCCAATTTTATAGTGCAAGTGCTAGGAAGTGTCAAGTGAATTGAATACCTTGGGCTTAACCTGCTTTTGGCCTTGGAAGAGAAATGGACTTAAGCATAAGATGCTATTGTCATCATAGATTGGGATTTAGTAGTTTAAGGCCCAGAAATGAGTGTCATGTTGATGCCCAAAGACGTACTACATCCGTTTTGGCCTAAAATTGCAACTTACACGACTCATCACTAACATGTAAAACAACCTATATTGACATTGTTTGACCACTTTGACGTATTCACATGTTGAAATTTGATTAATTTGCTCAAATTCATTTATATAGAACTCAATACAAGTGAAATGGCTAAAAATGGCCTAAAATTGCAACTTACACGACTCATCACTAACATTTAAAACAACCTATATTGACATTGTTTGAGGTATTCACATGTTGAAATTTGATTAATTTGCCCAAATTTCATTCATTTATAACTCAAACTAGTGAAATAGCTTAAAACGACCTAACTTGTAATTTATGTGTCCATGTTCTTTATTTCGAATAAAAAATACTCTCTTAACACTTAAAACAGCCGCCTATATTCAAATTGTTAAAGGTTTTTACAAGTTGAAATTAGGTTAATTTGCTCGTATTGATTCATTTACGACACAAAACTAGTGAATAAAAAATACTCTCTTAACACTTAAAACAGCCGCCTATATTCAAATTGTTAAAGGTTTTTACAAGTTGAAATTTGGTTAATTTGCTCGTATTGATTCATTTACGACACAAAACTAGTGAATTTAAATGACTAAAAATGGCTTGAAATTTCAACTTAATGTGTCCATATTCTTTATTTTCAATCAAAACTGTTTTGAGTGTTTTTGTCCCTCTGGAGAGTTACAGCTCAGAGCCTGGTTGCGCGTGGCCTATACTTGCAAAACAACGGAGACCCCGGGTGGTTGGAGCTCCGCCTCCGACGATCAAGTTAGTACTTGAAATAAAACGGGAGAAAGTGCGGAAAAAGAGGTGAGATCTTCTCGGATTCCGAGATCAGGTGATTCTCTGATGTAAGAGAATGTAGGGTATGCTGTAATAAATGTAGATGTCCCAAAATTGGGGGAAATCTCCCTATTTATAGGGTCTTTGGTAAATGTGCCCCTGATTAGGTCATTCTGACCTAATTATTATGGGATGCGCCGCATTGCGGCTTTCTCGGGATTTGGGCCAATGAAGGCCGCCTTTTCTTCCAAAGTTTGAGGAGAGACACGTGTCAAAAGGAGATTGGCACAATTTGGACCAACCAAAGTATGACACGTGTCAAGGCCTGATTGGGCCACGTGGCATGGGTAAAATTACCCAAAACAAAAACTACTTACTAAACTTAAGACAACCCATATTCACACTGTTTATGAGATGTTTACAAGTTAAGATTAGGAAAATTTGATCATGTTTATTCATTTAGGACTCAAAACTAATGAAATGGCTAAAAATATGGCCTAAAATTATAGCTTACGTGTTCATATACTTTATATTCAGTCAAAATTATTCAGTAAAACTTAACACAACCTATATTCACATTGTTTGAGATGTTTACAAATCGAAATCAGATTAATTTGCTCAAATTTATTCATATGCATTTAGAACTCAAAACAAGTGAAATGGGTAAAAAAAACATGGCCTAAAATTGCAACTTAAACTACTTACTAACACTTTCAACAATCTATATTGACATTGTTTGAGATGTTTACAAGTTGAAATTTGATTAATTTGCCCAAATTCATTCAATTAGTACTCAAAACTAGTAAAATGACCTAACATTGCAACTAACTTGCCCACTAACATTGCAACTTACTTGAATTTTCGAAAATTTATTTTTTTAATTTTAATTTTTTTTTACCAATCACCTAGTGACATGTGTCAAGTAACTTATTATAACAAGTTAGTAACTTATTATCGTACCCCGCTTAGGAGATCATGTTAGTAGTACCCCTTCCCCGCGGTGTTGTATTGTCTTCATTCCGCAAAGAGGTTTGAGGTTTGTAGTAGACTAGTAGTATTGTTTGTAATATTAAGTCAATTGGGAGCTAGTCTCCTTTTAACAATTGTCAAAAAAAAAATAAAAATAAAAAAAAAAAAAAAAAATTGATGGTTTTTTATTTTTTATTTTTTTTTTTTTTTTTTTTTTCTGAAGCAAAGCAAGGATCATTAATTAATTAGATCGAGTTTCACCAAAACTTGAAAGCTTTGGGGGAAGGAGGTAGTACAAATACAAGCCGAAATAATTTCAGTTTCCCACCTTGCAATTAAATAGGCAACCGAGTTACCGGTCCTCTAAGTATGAAGACATTCAAAGCTGTTAAGAGAATTACACAATCTGAAAGTATCATCAAAGAAAAGAAAAATTGGAGCAGCTCCTTGCTTGTTGTTGATCATACGCACTACATCACACTCAAGGACCAAATCCCTATATCCCAGATTATTCGCCGCCACCAGAACAAAAAGTGCAGCAGCAGCAGCTTCAGCTATCGCAGGCTCCCAGCAACATCTCAGACGCTTCAAAGCAGGGTCTGACAGAAGCGAACCAATTTGTAACAGCAGGGTCTGCAGCAGCAACCATATGAAGACGTAGATTTACACAATAAGGAGATCAATCACCGAATTCGAAATACTTTGAATCTGCTGGGAAATGTAATTCCACATTCAACTGAAACCCAGGACATCAATTAGTTAACTTACTATCACAAGAATCTCAATACATATAACAGTCATTATAGTACATACTACATACCAAACACATATCACAGTAAACCTAAACACGACAAATAGAAGCAGGCTCCCTTTACTCGGTGAAACTATTGCCATTAACTCATTTCTAATTAGTACTTTGGAGACTACATTTAGTCTCAACATTTCTATACTCAGAATTGAGCAACCTGGAAACTTCAGTCAGTCAATCGGTATTGAGCAATGTACTTCTACGGGTTTCTATGGTTATAATGCGTTTGGGTAAATATTTGTGCAAGATGAGACATTTATTGTGAAGTAAACAGCAATGCCTCTTTTATCATATTTATTAAGGAAGTTTAAAACAACTTTAAGTAAAACAACTAGTCTTGTGATTTGAAGAAAGTTTTTCCAACTAGAAGCAACAATATGTAAAGCAAAGAAGCTCAAATCGTAATATCATATTAGTAATAATGACACATACCTTGCCTTCAGAATCAGTATGCCTTTGAGGAAATACAATTTTCAGGTCATTGTACAAGTAAAATCTCCTTTCCCGTTCATTTTCTGCAGAGTATTGTAGGGCACCAAGACATTGGCGTTCTCTTTAACCTTAAATGAACCAAGTGAGACTGGGAATATTCTTGAGTTGCGAGAGGGAGAAGAAGCCATTGCACAGCGAATAATTGTTGGGAATTTGGTTGATAAATTAGTGTGGTAACTGGGTTTTTGTTAAGGATGTAAAGGAGAGAGAATGAGGGAAGATAATGAGGAGAGAGAAGCAGTCTCCATTGTTGCACTTGTCCAATGTTTAGATTACAGAACCAATTTGTAACAGCAGGGGCTGCAGCAGCAACCATACGACCATAAAAATATTACCTTTGCATTATACATCTCATAGTCCTCACAAAGAGTCATAAAACTAGAAGCAATAGCAACACCATTAACACTAAAAATCACCTTATTCCTACAATGCCACGCTACCCATGCTAAGGAAGAGAAGACACAGAAGCTGTCTTTTCTCAAGCTTACTCGCCACCCAACAGAAAAGGTCCCTAACGATATGTTTGGATTGAAGGAAATGGAGGGAAAGGAAGGGAAGAGAAATGGAGAGATGGAGTATCTTTCATTTGAATAGAAAATGAGGAAGGGAGGGAATTGGAAGGATTAATTGTAGGAAATTAATCCCTCCAACAATGGAGAGATTTGAAAGGAAAACTCATCCTTTTTCTCTCCCCTCCCTTTCTCCTCCCTCCCCTTCTTTTCCTTCCCTTTTCTTTATCCAAACAATCTGTAAAAGAATCATGAGGAACTTCAACAATCAGATCAGAGAAGTTGCTATGTGAATATGAACCCCACAAGTGGGGGAGTGATACCATATTTTTTATGGCTTGCAGTTCTGAAGACTTGTCGAGTAGAAGGGTTCCACAGCACCAAAACATGTCGGGGTGTCCATATTTGAATGCAGAATATGCCATTGCAGGGGCCATAAAAGATCTTGATGTCCTCCAGGAGGAAGTTGATGGATGACAGGTTTGCACTCATACACAGTGAAATGTCAAGAGTTTGACAAGAAAGGAAGGTAATATCATTCACAATGGACCACCGACGCGAATGGATCATGAAGTGATGGCAATCATAATTTGATAAAGCCAAAGTACGAGTATCATATTGTTTGGCAGCAAATTCAGGTGATTTAATGAGAGATTGCCATAACTTACACACACAAGTAAATTTGATTAGGGATTTTACGGGCATTCTTGCCAGAATTTCAATCAACAATTCATCCAGTAATTGGCGGGGTATATCATCCACATCATTCCCATCCGCCATCAAGTCTACACTATCAAATTTTGCAATTCAATTCAATTAAAAGACATGATCAATTAATTTTATCAAATCCAGAGTACAAATATTGAATTCTAAATTGAAAACGATAACATCAATTAATTAATGAAATAATTCAGTCAAATAATAATTTCAAGGAGCAATTCTAATTACATAAAACTATCCAATTTCATCAATTTCAAAGCACCAATTTCATCAAAATAATTCAATCATATAATGCCAATCACGTAGTACATATTTCATATATTCAATATATATTATTTTTTTTTAGGAAATTTCATATATTCAATATCAATCCTAATTCTTACAGTAAATCATCAATACAAAACATCAATTAATTTTATCTAATACAGATATTTTATCTTCTAAACTGAAAATGATAACATCAATGAAATGATAATATTTATTTTCAATTGTACATTTCAAGAAGCAGCAATTCGAATTACATAAAACCATCCAAATTCATAATTGAAAAAACATTAAAAATGCCAATTAGGTACATAAAACCATCCAAATTCATAATTTCAACAATAATTGTAATTGATATATAAAACAATTAATCAGGTCAAAACCCAAAATCATAAATACAAAATAAAACCCCCAAATCACGATCGAATCAAAAAGAATAGAATGAATAAAAATAAATAAAAAAAAAAAAGTAAGAAAATAAGAATTGGAGAAAGGATGAAGGAGTACGGTGGCCGGCGGCGAAGTAACGGCGGTGATATGGTGGTTTTTTTTAAAAAAAAAATATTTTTGAAGGCTTTAAACTTTATTAATTTATTTGTCGAGATTGCTTTGTTGGGCTGTGACTCGTATAATCAAGGCCCATTTTCAAGGCCACAATCTTCTCTGTATCGTTCCAATTTTATCAGATGTCTCCGAAGAGACGGCCACGATCTTCTTTAGTCATGTTTAAACTGAAATGAATCCTTAATGGTTTGTCCCGTGTTCTATTTAATGATGTCTCTAAAAAAAAATTGATTTATTTTCTTTTAACAGGTCATCATATGTCAATTTTCAAGTCGTGCGTCATTAACACTCGTGGAGAATTAGTTTTTCTATTAGATCAGTACTCCTGTCATTTTTTTTATCTTTAAATCAAATTAAAATCAAATTATCGATGACTTATCATACTTACATAAGTGAATCGATAAGTAATGAACTAGTAGTAGATTGATAGATAATTAGCTTAACAATGAATTTTCAATCCGTGGCTTCCCTACTCTTCAACATGGGGCTCCCATATGTTTCTTTTGAGGGTTTTTAATATGGTAATGGTCTCTTCCCTAAAATGGAGGCCAAAGGTACCTACGGTTAGGGTATCAAGTCACTTGTGAAGGTGACTCAACTTGTGTTGTTAAATCTTGATCATCTTATTTTCCTACTCGTTTAACTTGATTTTAAAAAGACTTTATGTCTTTGTGAGCTCGAGTTAATGTATACTACCAACCGAATTTTTTTGCCTTTTTGTTCCTTCCCCAATTCTAAATGTAAAATGTCTCAATTTCATGCATACGTCCCTATTTTTTACTACCCTATTTTTTTTTTACTACAATCTAAAATGTCTCAGTTTCATGCACATCAATCAAAATATATCAGTTTCATGCAAACGCCGTGTGCATATAGATCAATTATTGCAAATTGTAGTAGTTGCACACTTGCACATACAATTTCATACTCCATAACTTTATTGTAACGGAAACTGTTAGCTCATATGCATATAGTAAAACAATGAATAAACTTTAAGAGGATGTATACACGATGGGTTTTTTTTTCGCAAAACGGTGCTTTTAAAAGGTTTTTTCTAACAAAATTACCGTTAATTTAATATAATGTTTAATATTTAATTCATTTTTTCTTTTTTTCTTTCGCCACTGCATATAGATCCATAATTGTAGATTGTAGTAGTTGCACACTTGCACATACAATTACATACTCCATAACTTTATTGTAACGGAAACTGTTGCATATAGTTAAAAAGGTCAAATGGATGTTTGAGATTGCAATGTTCTTGTATGATTGTTCTCATAATGAATGGGTTGTCTCTGGAAGTATGGATGCAAATCACGAACTCCATCCAGATACAAAGGGGTCTGCATTTCTATCAAGCGGGAGATCTACAAGGAAAGCATCGGGTTAAGCACAGATACTTCGAGCATTAATTAACGACGACAAATTCTATATTTCCCATTGACAGGAATATCAGAAAACTTCCAAATAAAACAGGAAGACAGAGATAGTAACACGTGCAGTATCTGTTACAGCAGAAGTATTTAGTCAGACATGTTTGGAAAGAACAATTTATGCAACTAAAACAGCAAGATATTTCAGTAAGAACATTAGCCTTAATGTGCAAGTGGCCTGGCAAACTCAAATTTTGAGAAAGGTGCCCATAAGGGGGAAGGAGGAGGGGCGCGAGGGGGGGGGGGGGGGCGGGGAAGGGTACCTTGCTAGTTTTATCAGCAAGGAATTGGCCTTGATATATTAGTTGCAAAATGAAAGAGGATTCTCTATGTACGATTTGCATAAAAAGTAACCACTTACAGCTCGATGGAAGGCAAACATTTCTTCTTGTGCAGATAGTAAGCTTAGAAATACATTTATTAGAAGATTGGATGGTATGGCCAACAATAATTCCCATCAGTATTATCAACAGTTCAACACCCTATATTTTAACCAGTAACACACTGCCATATAATTGCACTGATATTTCTAACTATTAAAATTTAGCACACAATATCTGAGTCGAGAAATGACAGATCAATAAATATAACACCTTAACTTAATATTTTCCCAAGACAATTCACAAAGCAAAGATAGGCATGAAGAAACTAGCACTTGCCTTTCCAAATTGAAAAGAGTTCCTTCTTCGGTTCCTTGGAAAAGGTCATCAATGGAACAAGCAGCAGAACAAAATAGACGACAGTGATGGTTGTATAGTTCATCTATGAGAGTAATAGATCTCCGTGCCTGAAATCGATAACATTTGACACATCCAAAGCATTAAATATACTGCTCAAACATGAAACAGTTTCCTAGAGGTTAATGCATTACATTTGGACATAACTAATCAGTATACATAACAATAATTCATTGAGCAAGTGTAGAAAATTGACACAATTACTAAGCTATGTCTCAGGATTTCAGGCTTGACCACTAGTGTTGGATATCTGTATCTCTCCAAGTGTCAAACTAAATTTCAAGAAATTTGTATGTTTTGTCCAAAATAGTTTGTCAAGTGTCTACATCCATATCAATAGTCCAGCACTATACTTGCTAAGTAGATAATCTTAAAAAATTGTAAAGAAGTATGGAAGTAATAATTTGAAATGCATAACTGATATGTATAGGCCAATACATAACTTATTAGCTGGTATTTAATGTCATGATTATAGAGCATAAGTGAAGCTTCCACAGCTAAGATAGAGATTTACTTGGGGAAGATCTTTGTTAAGTTTTGGGATATTCAAATTGATCTAAACTGATATTGGATAAAATCATGAAATTATTCAATTTTTTACCCACTACAAAGCACATGAAAAGAAAGAGCAATTCATACCTTGTCCCTGATACGCATGCTCATTGCCGGTATGTCAGAAAAAAAGACTGGTAGTTTTTAGCTAATGCAATATAGTCTGCAGCCCCAACCTAACAGAAATAATAAACAAATGTTTTTATTTAATATAAACTACTCCAAAAGCAAAGAGAATTGACAACGTGCAAATTTAATTTACCGGTCTTCCACAAAGATACTCAAATGAAAAATGTGCAACCCCATTGCAGCTTTGAGGAACATCTAAAGACCTGCATAAATGAACTAATTAATCAAACAGGCTTTACAAAATCATAATAGACTTGAAGAAAAAAAATAATACCTTCCAAACATTACTGAAATAGACTCAGTTGTCACAATTCCTCCATATTCATTAGTGACCTCATACCATGATTTGTCAAATTCCTGCAATGCCTTGCTATCTAAAGGACAGAAGTAGTTGTCCTGTGCATGGAGATAACTGAATTAAGAAGGGAAACCATAACCAAGCATGCAAGGTAGAGTTGATAGGCTAAAAAAAGTCCTGCATAGTAATACTTGTTAAGTACAGACCAGCTCTCACCTGGCTTTTGGATCCCTGAGCAACAAGTTGGCGATAATCTATCTCACTGCCGATAAGAACATTCTGGCAATGTTCTTCCAACTTCTCAACCAGCTTTAGGAAGATCTCCTTCTGCATTCCATCCTGCAGATGAAAGGTATTCAAGTTTTAAATAGTTGATTTACAGCTCGCATAACTCAAAATCATCACAAAAAAAGGGGGAAGATTATGCGTTTGACATGGATAGAAAGAGTGTGTTGTCAGGTGTCAAAAGCATCAATGGAAAAAAAGAAGATAATGGAGGAAAAAAGAAATAAATAAATAAATAAATTAGAGGATAAACATGGAAAGGAAAGTGAAATAAATGGGGCACAGAGTGATGTTTTTAATACATTGACCATAAAAGATAGAAATCAGAAATATACAAATAAAATCTCTTTGTACTGTTAAGGATTCAAAGTTTCAAGTCCTTTTAGTTGAAATTTAAAAAAATCCAAGGTGACAGAACAAAGCTCGCCAGGGTGTTGCAAATGAAGGTATGATGCATATTACACAGAACAACTTCTTCTACATGGCCTTCAAACTCAAATTATATGCCTAAAACCAAAAGTAAACTTACTCCCCTTAATCCACAGTGAAAATCTAGGGAAAAAAAATATAAAAAGACAAGGTGAAAAAATAAATTCCAAGGATAAAGCCTTCAATCTGACCCATGGATTTTTTCACTCATCTTGGTGTGGGAGTCCCGTGAATAGGTGGGGTGGGGGTGGAACTAGGATAGTGTTGCTGGTTGGGGTAGAAATCTAGATAATACCTATCCGTGAATATTGCAGCAACAACGATAGTCTTGTTGTGGCCTAACCGCCTAATTGATGCTTCACACGTGTTACTAACTACAGCTTAAAACCCAACCGGTCAAGTATCAAAATCACCTGGGTGCAACAGACTGACATAGCAGTCTGACAAAAGGCACAAAGCCACTAAATTTATAGAAATTTTTTTTTTCCAAAAATATGAACATAGGGGCATGGCATCTAAACCAATAGTACCTCAATAACATGCTTTCTTCTTCTAATGTTTATAAATTTGGATACATTTTGGTAACAGACATAAAAGAAGCACAAAGCCGAATACCCGCAACATGAAGAGTCAGGTTTTCATTACACGGAACTTGTTCTAAAGAGTTCGCATAAAGTTTTGTAGTCTAATATCCACAGTGGTCAATCATCATGTGACGTTCAGGTCAAGATTATAAACTTAAACACCACTTGACTCTATGCATTGACTTTATATGGGTGCCTAAATATTCTAAAAGGCATGGAGCCAATATTCTCTATCCAAAAAACCTAAGTAATTTTCCAACCACATATTTCAAATATAATCGATGTTGGGGCATCCCAAGCCACTTAAAGGGCGAAGCAAAACTACACAATATGGCATTGTAAGCAAGCTTAAAAGTACATTTAACAGAAGATTGGATGGTCTGGCCAACATTAATTCCCATCAGTAGTATCAGCAATTTAACACAGGCAAGCTCAATTGAACTTAATAAAAGTGCTGAGACTCTCAACATAGCAGACACACCTAATCACCTACACATGCCATAGGGATATCGAATTAATTTTCCTTCATTATCTTGTTCTTGTTTTCATTTATCCTCCTCATGATGCCTCTAAAATCAATCAAAATTTATTTCCTCATTTTTCACCAAAACATCAAAATTAACAAATGCTTAAGCCAATCTTGGCTTTCTACCAACTGTTCCATACAAAGCAAAACATAAATGGAATTATTCAATAAGTAGTTCCTCAATCACTTTCTTTTTAATCATAACATTGGAAGCATGTTACATTGTTTAAGATCTCTACATTGGATAAAGAGTAATTTGCAAGCTAAGTGAAGTTTAATGTAGCCAGTTTTGGCTGCACAATCAATAAGAATGCATCACATCAATTTTACCTCCAAAAATAAATACAGTAAACGCTGCTCTATGTTCCTTAAACTTTCCCCGAGCTGATGATTCTGGCCATCCTCTGATGGTGAAAGCAAGATTGACAGATGCCAATAGTATAGTTATGACTGAAGGAGAATTGAAACCCTTCATAGAACCATGGTCTAGAGCCCAGTTTGCAAGAACTTGGCTTAATATCAAAGATGTTGACTCAAAAAACCTCATCAACCAAAAAGTATCATTCAATGCATCTTGCCTGTACCCTTGCTGCATCAAATATGTAAGAGATATGTAACAATATAAACCAAATCAAAAAGATAGCAGAGAAAGACAGAGTAAATGAGTTATATATGAAGTGCATATTTTTACTTCACAACCAAGAAATCAATTAGCTAGTTAATAAAGAATCCAGGGAAGTAGAGGATTATTAAATTTTCTACAACACGAAATATGTGAAAAAGAATCGATGATGAACACGAAAACACAAAAACATTCAAGCATTTAACCATGATTACACTAAAGAATTACAACTAACACACACCTTATCATGGTCAACCACCATCCAACTTTCGAAACTGAACGAAAATATGGAACTGGCGAGAGACAAGCAGATGCTGGCTACCCAAATAGCAGGATGAGCTGCAAGTGTTTTCCACACAGCCATGATCAAATGTAGGATGGAAAATAGAAGACAAAATTTCTTGTGGCATCTGCAACTCGTACAAGCATTACAAAAAAAAATGTACTCAAAATCGATATTGAAGAGTAAGAACTCCATCTTCAAGATTTTTCTTATAGCGTAGCATTTTTTAATAGTGCATTTGGCTACAAAGACTAACATTCAAGCTGCACTCTCTTATACGAGGCAGCTAGGAAACAATAGTTATAGTTATAGCTTCACACAACTTCCAAATGAGCATAATAACTCACTTCTTTTTTTTTTTTTTTTTTTTTTTTTTTTTTTTTTTTTTTTTTTTTTTTTTAACCTTTCACTTAAAGAATTTGATGACCATGTTTCTTGTTATCTCAACTCTCTTTTTATAACCTGATTTCAAACTAAGCAATTTATAGCATAAGTGCTCCTTTGAAAAAATGGCTTCAAATCCTAATATATATCAAAACAAAAGCAAATTAGTTGCAGGATTATCAAACAACAAAAACATACTATTATTATTGCAATGTCTCTTATTCAGATACAGTTTGAATCTAGAAAAGAAAGAAACATCTATTTTCGTACTAAATCAGTCCTACTGACAAATACCACCCACATTTATTCACAACCAAATAACTAACTCAACTGAGTTCCTAACACAGACTAACTAACGCAACTGATATCTACCCAGTAAGCAGAAGGAGATGTACTGCTGACATTTCAACTGCCTTGTCCACCACTGCCAAGAATATACGAATGTCTGACTCCAAGACTTCTGACTTGAACTTCTAACACAAACAAGAAAAGTGACGCTGAAATAACTTCTAAAACTTGACTCCAATAACTTCTAAAAAGTGACGGACTCCAGTAAGAAGAAGGAGATCTGCTGCTGACATTTCAACCGCCTTGTCCACGACTGCCAAGAATATACGAATGTCTGACTCCAAGACTTCTGACTTGAACTTTTAACACGAAACAAGAAAAGTGACGGACTTCTAAAAACTGAAGAGAGGAACGATGAAAAAAGACCAAGAGAAAATGAGAAAGAGTAACACACTAAGAGGCATATTTATAATTTTGTAGGATAGAATCTTATATCCTTATCATCTAAACTCAGGGCCCCCCTATTATTTTATTAGTCTACTAAAGTATTTCTTGGACTTCTTTTAATATTTTCTTGGCATATAAAGCTAACTGTAATCTTCTCATTGTGATATATATTTTCAAGAACCCCTCTTTTGATGTAAAAAACAATAAATGACTTTAACTACTCTTAATGTGTTATATATTTTCAAGAACCCTCTTTATAATACGAAAGTGACATACTGACATACAATAAGCAAAGAAAACAAAGAATAAGCAAAGCCAGAACTCGGATCAAACCATGAGGTCAACCAGTATTATTCTGTACCTTATTTCCACGAATAACAGCCTTAGGTTTACGGTTCACCTTCAACAAACATGTACTTTGCTCCACCAAGGTGTAACCCAGTTAGTGTAAGGGTTTCGGGTTCCTTGAAATCCTTCACAACAGCAGCTAATTCATCTAGTTTGAACTGCAATTCCACAAGGGAAAAAAAAAAAATAACACAAACCACATCAAAATATGTCCAAGTCTCTCATTTAATCAGAGGGCATAAGCATATAACAGAATAACAACAAACTAACTTGCATTGTGGTCACATTTAATCAATTTTTTTTACTACAAATTCTACTAGACTTCATCTATTTATAAGATCACACTTTCATCCCAGATAATCAATTTAAATCAACACAAAGTCAAACCAACCACAAATTCAACATATTGAATGGAAAAGGCGTAATCAATGGCGTTGGGATCAGAATTTCTCCCGGGTATTTCATCAAACACCTTCCGGGCTTGATGAATTTGAGCTTGAATAAAGGGTTGCAATGGGTGCCAAGGTTAAGAATTTGAGCTTGAATTTGCAGTATTGGAGGAGAGAGAGGCTTGAGTTGGGCAGGTCGAAGTGGTGGTGGTGGTTGGAGTTTGGAGGAGAGAGATGGAGTGGTGATGGCATGGAAGAGCCTCCTTAAGCGGGTGGCGTAGACTGCTTGTTACCGTTATATTTGGGAGGGAAATTGAAATTTGGGGCATCAATTTCCTTTGAGCCCTGCCACGGTGTATAAACCTAGTAACGTGTTCTTGCAACATGTTCTTAGCAACATGTTCTCTTTTATCGATTTACTAATTGATATTATTATGGTCTGTTCTCTTACGTTGAAATTCAGTTTAGTTCAGCTCAGTTTAGTTCAGCTTCTAATTTTCTTCTCTTATAAAATATTCATTTCATTTCAGTTCAATTGAGTTCAGTCAATGAGAACAAACCCTTAATTTTTTTATTTGGATAATGGATATGATTATTTTGCTTCTAGCTTAGAGTCGGATTAAATGGTTATTTTGTCTCAAACTCTTGCAAATATTTATAAACGATTACCTATGAATGATTTTTTTCAAAAAAAAAAAATTATTAATTTTTGACTCAGATATGCTTATTTTGCTTCTAGATTCAGATTAAGTTGTCATTATATATGAACTCTTGCAAATATTTAAAAACGATTATGTATGGATGATTTTTTTAAAAAATAAAAATAAAAAAAAAAAAAAAAAACTATATTTTTTTCCTCTTTTTAAAAAATAACTTATTTAATTTTTTTTAACTATAGTGTCTTGTTAATGGTCGTGGGAGAAACGAGTTTGAAAAGAAAGTCATGTTGTAGAGTTACACAAGTTTTCGCATCATCCTTATGATCCCTTTCCTAATCATGCTCTTATGTGTCAATTTTTCCTTGTTTTTTTAGTTGAAATCTAACTTACTTAATTATTTTAAGAATTTTGTAGCATGACACAATATTTAGTACTTGAACATCTTGGTATAAAAGACTAAGCGGTTTCTCTTTAACTCTTCTTATCCTAAGATAATTGCCTTAATTTTCTTTCTTAAGCTAATTTCCCTAATTACCTTAGTTTTTCGTAAGTGATCTGATCTCTTGATTTTCTTAAGTGATCTTTGTTTTCTTAAGTGACCTTTCTTCTTAAGTAATTTTTCTTTTCTTAAATGAATGGTCTTTCTTCTAGAATGGTCTTTTCTTCTTAATTGATTTCTCTTTTGTGGGTTCTCTCTCTCTCTAGCATTTAATTAGTAACTCTTTTACCTAAGCTAATTTCTATTAATTTATCAAGTGATCTTTGTTAAGTAGTCTCTCTTTTTAAAAATGATTTTTCTTCAGTGCGGTGGTCGTTCTCAAATGCTCTCTCTCTCTCTCTCTCTCTCTCTCTCTCTCTCTCTCTCTCTCTCTCTCTCTCTCTCTCTCTCTCTCTTAAGGAATTAGCTTAAGTAAATGTAATTAGCCATATTGGTATCATTTCATTAGTAAGCTTCTTCATAAGTTAATTGCTCTAATTCTTAAGTACTCTATCTCTCATTTGAAAAATTAAGCATTTCCCTAATCTAACTGTGTTTTTTTGGAGCTAATTGCCTTGATTTTTTAAAGTGTTCTTTCTTAAGTGGTCTCCCTCTTTCTCTTCTAAGCTAATTGCCTTGATTTTTTAATGTGATAGTTCTTAATCGGTCTTTCATCTCTCCAAAGCCAATTGACCCTATTTATAAGTAATTTTTCTTAAGGGATCACCCTCTCTTTTTCTTTCTTAAGATGATGAATTAATTGCCATGATTTTCTCAATTGATATTTCTTGTGTGGTGTCTTTTTCTCTCACGTTTTTATAAGCCTTTTATTTCCTATACAAATTGCGTTTTTCTAAGCTAATTTACCTAAACAAATTAGGTGATATTTCTTAAGTGTTCTCTCTCACTCATTGTTTCCTTACCTCCTACCCTAAACTAATTGCTCTAATTTTATTTGGTGATCTTTAATTTGTGTTTCTTTAGTGATCTTTCTTAGCTTCTTGAGTGATCTTCTTTTTCTTGAGTGATTTTTCTTCATATTTTAGTAATGGTTGCTCATGCCTTTTCTTCATATTTTAGTAGTGATTAAAGTTATTGTTATAATTTAAATAACCACTTAGTTTGCTTTAAATGACAATATATATATGTGTTATATATTGACAATGAAATAAAAATTGATAATATTATAAGGGTAAAGATAAAACAAGACTATCATCTTATAGGTAAGATGTAGTTCAAAGAACACTATTTTGTGGTGTAATTGACAATATAATTAAGAAATTTGATGAATTTTGTTACATTTAACTCGTGTACGATTTTTATTTTTATTTATATATATATAATTAAATTAATTCGTGTAGGTTAGAGTAATCAAATGATATAAATCATATTCTTTAGAAGCATAATTATATTATTACTCGTTATGTGAAGCTACTTATTATTCCAAAATTGTTTAATAATTTCGTTTGAACTATACCCTTAAACGATGCTAAAAAATTAAATCATCTTCTTTAATTATAAATATATTTTGAAGCATAAACAACTTTGGTTTACCTTTCGTTGTTGATTGAATGACCGAAAATATTACTTACCTCCGCTTTTTTTAGTTGATACGTATTCCTCTCTACTCCCTCCATTCCACAATGATGTTCTTCTTTGGAACCTATGAATTTTTTAAAAAAGAGTGAATCATCTAAATTTCTCTTAGCTTGGACAGCCAACGCGCGGAGTGACTTGCCCTTTCTTGATGTTTATTTTGTGGTTGTATTTAAATATTTCACGGCAAAGGGTTTTTAGGAAAATAGTTTAATAAATTAATGTAATGTGTATATTGGGTTGTGGTTAAGCTTTTTGTTTTTTCCTACACAACTTTTTCAGTTGTTTACAGTTTTTCCTCATAAAACATCTATGTAATTATTCAACAGTGCAATATTGCAAAAATATCTACAAAATAAATTAGGATTCGATTAAATGTTATTCGAAAATCAGAGAGCGCATATTATATAATAACAGAATTAATTTAACATTGCATATGCATATAATAATAGAAAAGTTTTCTGAAGCATTACCATTTGCAAGTGTATACTCTCACCCAACCTAGTAAATTAGTAATTACTCTACATAAATTATATGGGATTAACTATATGTATGAAACTTAAAAAGAGAAAAAGTTACACCCAACTCGCATAAAAATTAACATTCAAACAATTAGAGGAAATATCAACTTGCAATGGTAACTTTCTTCCAAAACGTGGATTTGGTTATGCAGCTGAAAAAGCTTTATGCAACCCCATTGTATCCTTTAAACCCTTGATAATTTCCTTGACCTCCTTTGTAACACCTCAATAATTATCTCTTAAAACCTGTAAATACCCTGAACAAAATTCAAGAGAATTACTGGCGTGCTACCACCACGTGTTCAAACGTTAAGGCTTTATTAGAAAATAACAGCGGAAAAACTAACTCAGTTATAAATAAGTTTCAAAACCAATAACCAAAACCAAATTAAATGATACAAGCTGGAACCATTAAGACCCTTATTCAAAACCCAACAAAAGTAGTAAATAAATAAAACCAGAGTTTAAATAAATGTAAACTTATGAAAAGAACTAAACAGCGAATAATAACCAACTCTCCACTCAAAATCCCACCACCTTTATGCAAGTCCAAACTATGCAAACACCTGTGATGAGTCTGCTCCCCAATATTACAAGTGTAAAGATTGGATCGTCACAGGGTCATTGAAAGGCGAAGGCCATGACCAAAGAAAGAAACATAACGCACGCAATCAACAAAGCTGAGTACATACAAGCTGCAAAACATAAAAGAAATCCCTAACATGCTACTAATAGTCAATCATCACGCATCATTAGTTTATAGACTCGACACATGACTCAACTATTTATATTACTAAGACTCCATTAATTAATAATAGGTAAATCATTATTTTTATTCGTTGGATTACGCAATAGACAAGGTTGTTCAACCCATGCTCCATTTGGAACATCAATAAAAGAAAAACTCCATGCCTTACATCAATAAACATCCAACGACCACGGGCGCGACTCCGTGACCGTAGTTAGTATGAGATCTCACCTAACTCCTAGTTTTGAAAAATATTTGAAATAAGAGACTCGTAGATTAGACTGCCTCGAGAAAAGTACACGGCTAACACCCCGTGTACCCCAACCCCTGATTGTCATTACTCCATAAGTGCACCAATCCAGAGTTTTATTGCTCATCCATCTTGCACTTTACGTGATTTACAGGTTTAGACTTGGTGATGACTCATATGCAAACAATACAATCAATCCAATATCAATTCAATCAAGTAAAACAACTTTCCAATTTCAATTCTTGATTTATTAGTGACAAGCAACATTTATGATTTATTCCTTTAACTACCTCGGTGTATAAACACCTTGAGTGCATAAGGCACCCCAAAACCTTAACCTCGTCTTATAAGACTTGAATTCTTCCGTTACTCATCCTATTTCAATAATCATGAATGAGTAATAAATAAATCATTCCACAAATCACATACCTTTGCCTCTAAGCGCATCTTGCATAATTAGAGCACAAATAATTCTTGCAATATAAAATAGTGCACATCATACGAAATTCACAATGTATAACCAAACAATTTAACTTAGTCATCCCTATACATGATACTAAGTTCTCGATCCGTCCTTAAACATGCACCTAAAA